CTCCCTACCTGCAGGAGTGAGCCTCACAGGGCTGAGTTCTCCCTACCTGCAGGAGTGAGCCTCACAGGGCTGAGTCCTCTCTACCTCCAGGAGTGAGCCTCCCTATTCCCTAGCACTGTGACCGGCACCCTGCATTGCCTTTCCACCTGCGATTCCTTGTCCATTCTCTTGTTGATTTTCTAGCTCCTCTCCTAGAACGGAAGCTCATGTGTTGCTGTTTCTGTATCCCCAAAACCTAGAATAGTGGGTGGCTTTAGGGAAACAACCTGCATTTATTCAGACAATAAATAAGATTTATAAGGAAGTTTCTAGGTACAGGTATGATGCCCAAAGCCATTTTACTTAATACCTACAACTAGGGACCCACCGAGGTCCCTTAGGGTTGGGGACACTGAGGTGGACCCGCACACCCCTGTCTTCTAAGGAGGCATGTTCCAGCATTTGGAGAAATGTAGCTGTGTGTGTCAGGGGGCGGGGGCACAGCCAGCCAGACCCCGCCCCCATCCTCATGACAGGGTCTATGGTTCAGATTAACCAGACTCATTTCTGGGATTATCCCACTCAAGACAAGGACACGAGTCTTCTCTCCAGCCGGAGCTGGGAAGAACTGGACTTAGCATTGCTTCCCAGGAGCAGGGCTGCAGGAAGCGACCAGCAAGGGGGCCCTGAAGCTCCTGACCTCAGGTAGGGCCCCTCCCCTACCTGGTGGAATTAGATGAACTCACAAACTTTCGCTCCTACCCAGGTAAATTTGAATTGAGTTCCTGGCATTTATACTCAAGCAAATTAAATATGATGCAAATCCTCTGACTTCCAAGACTTGGATCTTCCTGGACTCCAGGGTGCACAGGAAATGAAGAAATGGTCGCAGAGGACCTTTCCGGGCTCCCGTCTCCCCCTCCCAGCAGACCCCAGGGTGCCCAAGCTCTCACCTGGGAAAGCGCACTCCCACGGCAAACACAGTGACGCCTCTCTCCTTCAGCAGCTTGGCTGGCAGAGACACCTGCCCTTGGGACCTCCCGTCAGTGACGATGACCAGGATCTGGGGCACAGAGGCGTTTCTGCCCCCGGGAAACCCTTTGAGCAGCTGTTTCAGAGCCAGGCCGGTCTCTGTGCGCCCCCCTCTGCAGGCACCCAGAAGGGAAAAGAGCGTCAGTGATGCAGAGGGAAGCCAGCAGGCCTCACACAACCGCCGGCCGCCCCTCGCTCTTGCCAGGCACCTTCTCCCGGCAGAGATCCCAGTGGCATCTCCCACCAGTGCTCCCAGAACAAGGATGGAGAGAGATGAGGGCTCCCTGTGGGTGTCAGAGTCCCTGCGTGTGTGCTGTGTCATGTCATGGTGTCACTGTGTGTGTGCACATTCAGCTACCTCCCCTCTAGTGACCCCTCTGGGCATCCCACCATGCAATACTCCCTCTGTTCTCCCTATAGAGCGTCCCTGTTATGACTCCACCTCTCCTTGGGGTGACTGGACAACCCAGCTCAGTGAGGCCCCAGGAGAGTGACGCACAGGGCGATGATGCCAGGGCTGATGAGGCTCATTTCTGTGCTCAGGCCTGAAATGCACTGGTCCACTTCCAGTTTCAGGGGTGCAGAGAGGCCAAACTATGGCCGCCTTCAGATCAGGGCTGGTCCCGGGGTCGCATCTCATCAGGATGCTAGGCCCTCTGCTCGGTAGGCAGGAGATTCGCGCGGCCCGCTGACATGGGTTGTCACCTGGGCTCCGAATCCCAGCTCCATCGGGAGCCGGGAGGAGGGCTGAGAGCCAGCAGGCAGGAAACAGACTCGTGACAATGCGTTTCGGCAACCTTTCACTGGGCTGCCAGTTCCATGGCAAATGTGACAGTGTGTGGGGGCTGGTGGGATGAATGCAGGGTGACCCTCACAGAGCGCGAGACCGTGAGGTCATGGCGCTGACACACCGATACTCGGGCGAGAGCTGGGGTGGGCACGCCCGCCTGCACTGAGTACGGATGAAGACAAAGCCCGTCCGTAACCAGCCCCCTCAGAGGGGCCTCCAGTCACGAAAACATCTACCAACAGGCTGAGCATCATACATGTGTGGAAAGTGCACGCAAGATTGGACTCTGGAGGGATTTATGGACCAGGCCTAGAACATGCTTCATTTTTATTATCTTCTATGTTAAATGAACTCTTAAAAGGCAACGCTCTTAGTGGACCTCCATTAATTAAACGCCAGCCAGCGCTAAGACTCAGTCTAGTAGCTAGACGCCTCTGCAGTCATGAAGAAGCCACTTACGGCATTCAACCTCCTCAGATTTACTGCAGACCCTGGGTTGGGGGAGGAGGGGCGAGGCAGTGAAAGACACTCAGGAGGCACATAGGATCTCCGCCTCTGAGAACTCCCTGTCTGGTTGAAGAAACAGGACCCGCCAGGCAGCAAATAAGTAGCAATAAAAAGATGCAAATAACAGGAGCTAGGAGCGGAGCTTCAAGGTGGGGGGCTGCTGGCAGGGAACAGGCTTAGAGAGGGAAGCCTGTGATTTTTGACAAATCAGCTGAGAAGGAAAGGAGGGGGTGTTCCCCCCGCCCCCTTCTGATGGAGCTGGGCATGGCCACAGGCTCAGCAGAGGAAGGGCCCCACACAAGGCGGGCGGCGTGGGACACCACCTGAGGCATGGGACGCTGTCAAGGGGGTTTGAGTCCCAAGAAGACAATCTGCCTCACCAGAGCGCTGTGCAAAGCCTTCCGCTGGGGCACAGAAAGGCACAGACTGCCTGTTTCTGAAGGGCTGTATTTATCCTGAGCTTGCACAAGTTGCTAAATCCCTCCCCTCCCTGCTCCTGAGTGGCATCCTTACAACTCAGGAAAGGTCCTAATACCACCCTCAATTGCCAGCTGGGAAGTCTTTGCTCACAGAATAGCAACCATAACTACTGTTTACTATTCCAAGAAGCCTATCTGTTGGCTCAGCCTCAAATTCCAGTGAGTGTGAAAATCCCTCAGCACCTCTCCGGGTGGTGGCAACCTCCCCATGGAACATGCCTCTTGAAAAAGATCCCAGCCCTCTCCGGAAGAGGACAGGAGGGAATACAACAGCAATGTCTGGTGCAAAGCTTCAGACGAGAAGCATGCAGGATGCTATGAAATCATTTGCGTTGGCTACGCAAACACAGTGCCACTGTGCTGTCCTCTGCCAGCCTACAGGAGGAATGAGCCCACAGAAAGAAGCAGCAGCAGAAGCATCCCGAATCAAGCTGAGCAGGAAACCATCTCAATAAATAAGCACAATGCTCCAGGAGACCTAATGGAAGCTGTCTGATCCCTTTCTCAGAGTCCAAACTCCACATAGGTGTGTCCAGGCCTGGGCCTCTGCATTTTCAACCACAGCTCTCTCGCCCTGGACACCAGAGGTTCTGATGCAGGTAGACGATGAAACAGACTTTGTAAAGCATGAAAAGTCACAGCTGGACGCTGGATGTTGATGACAGGTTTTCCCTTTTTAAAAGCAAGAGACAAAAGTCCTGGGAAATGTGTCCGCTTAAGGGAATATTTAAAGACATCGTGATGCCTCAATTCACTGGTTTATTAGAGAACCATTATTAGAGGAGGTTCTCTGAAAAAATATTTAATGCAGCTTCCGGTGAAAGTACATGCCAAATAATACTAAGTTCTTTTTTAAAAAGTGAGCAAAATTTGTCATAACTATTCTAAAGTCATTTTTAAATGCCACAGTGATTTGAAAGAGACCAGAAAAGGCAGTAAAAGGCTTTGTGCTAAGGTAAAGTACAGAGAACCACTGCTGTCACGCCGTCTATAATTAGGAAAACTCCGACAAGCACAGACGGGGTCCAAAATCCAGCCGCCGAGATCTAAGCGTAGTGTTACCGTGACATTAATGAAGTGATGGCGCAAACTCGCCAGCCCCCTGGCCGGGGAACCCAAGTCAAATGCTGTCACACTTCATCTGATTTCGCGTCTTCCCGGGGCACAAAATTGGGTTTTGCTAATAATAGTTTCCAAACTTCTTATTGCAAAACAGCAGTACTTCGGCAGTCAGCGTGGTGTCCCTGCATCTCCGAACGCCCCGCGAGGGGGCCCCTGCACGGTGGAGCCTGGAATGGGACTGCGCCCAGAACTTCAGCGGTGCTGCCGCAGAGCGAGTCTCCACGGCGCACACCTGACAATTACAGTTACACCGCACTGTCCTTTCAGTTAAACAGCTCCCTCTTGGGCCGTCGCCTTGGTCTGGAGAGGCGAATGTTCTGGGCTCTGGATAGAGAAGTCCGAGTCAGCCCAGCAGTAAAAACTCCACTACCCATAAGTGAAAAGCCCTGCGGACGGCCACCACGCCCACCTGGCCATGCTCTTCTGCTCTGGTTAAGAATAGCATTTTAATGGTGAGTGTCCTCGGTGACCCTACAGCTGTGGCCAAAAATCTGTCACTGCCTCCTGAGCCTCTTTGTTGTCAACTGGACTTGTCCTAGGGTACACAACTGCTAGTCACTCAGCCCCACAAGAAAAGCTGACCTTGTTTAGACACAGGGAAAGCTTCTTTTTCTACCCCACCCCCCACCACACCTGACCTCACCTGCCACATTCTTTTTTTTTTTTTTAAGATTTATTTTTTGCATACAAGAACTGGGTATACAGGTCAGAGGAGGGGCGGTGAGAGGATTCACCTGACACAGAGTGGGGAGCAGGACAGGCAGGTCGACTGAAGTGCATTGCTGAGGGGAGCAGTGGGCGGGTCAGAGAGGTCTGCCGCGCCATGTGGGTCAGCTCCCTGGC